AAAAAAGAAAAAAAAATGTTTTATTTATGTATTTATTTATTTGCTTTGTTTGGGAGGGTTTTTTTTAAGCCTATTTATTCGGGGAGGGTCATTTCTTGTCGGTGACTCCAGCCAAGAGACATCTTAGTAAAATGTATCTGTTTAATATATTTTTTAAAAAATGCCTTTTTTGAGCAAAAGAGCAACCAAAAACAACTGAGAGAAAAAAAAAAAAAAAAAAAAAAAAAGAACAGTTACTGTCATCTCTGGCCTTGGCTTTTCCCTTGCTGCGTGGCAGGAGGGGATGGCGAGGAGGCTCCTGCACGTGCCCGGCCGCCGTGTCCCTCCCGTGTCTCCGCACTGTCCTGCTCTCTGGATTTTAGCCGAGCCTCCCGAGGAGGGGAGATGCCACCTCACGGGCTGGCCATCTGTCTCCTGTCCACATCTTCATTAACTCAGAGGGACAGGGCTCCGAGGCAGATCGTTAAGACCATCAGACGTGGAGGCAGGGAGGGATCCTGCCCACACCTGGAGCCGGCAGCTCCTGCCTGCTTCCCCCGGCTCTCACTTTTGCTCCCGGTGGGGTGCCTGGAGCAGATGCAACACATCCCTGAGCTGGTGGGAAGGACCTACGTGGCACCAGCCGCACCTCATGTCCAACCTCCTCCTGGTCCCATGTAAACGTCCACCATGCCCCAGGGTAAGCAGTGCCATGGCTTGGTCGCCCGCTGGTGGCACATACCACCTCTTCGGGCATGTCAAGCATGGCCCTTGGGAGGTTCACTTGATGTCCCTTAACTCTGGTATGGGAAGAGACAGGGGATACCTGACCCTCAGCCACCCTTTCTGGCCAGTTACAATTGTACAGACAGGTATGACAGTCATCTCTGTGTCCTAGCTCCATTGCTTGGTCCATATATGTAGGTTGCTCCGTATTTCTGGTATCCTTGTTGACCTCCTCAAGGCCTTCTCATTCATCAACCCCTTAAAAAGGGCCCCAAACCAAGTGCAACCCATCCTAGAATCATAGAATCATAGAATCATTAAGGTTGGAAAAGACCTCTAAGATCATCGAGTCCAACCGTCAACCCAACACCACCATGCCCACTAAACCATGTCCCTAAGCGCCTCATCTACATGTCTTTTAAATACTTCCAGGGATGGTGACTCAACCACTTCCCTGGGCAGCCTGTTCCAAGGCCTGACCACTCTTTCAGTGAAGAAGTTTTTCCTAATGTCCAGTCTAAACCTCCCCTGGCGCAACTTGAGGCCATTTCCTCTCGTCCTATCGCCGGTTACTTGGGAGAAGAGACCGACCCCCACCTCGCCCCAACCTCCTTTCAGGGAGTTGTAGAGCGCGATGAGGTCTCCCCTCAGCCTCCTCTTCTCCAGGCTAAACATCCTGGACACCTCCCTCTGCTACACCCATCAAGGGGCAGTGGGTTTCCCTGAGGCCAGCATCTCCAGCACCCGCTCAGCTCAGCCCGGCCAGCCGGGGCGAAGAGCCAGGCGGTGGGGACAGGCGAGCTGGCAGCTGATGGCTCGGCGGAGCCGGGCTCCCCTCCCTCCTTCCCCAGTGCTGCTGCTGCCGCGCTCCGTGCCTGACCAGAATATCAAGCAGCGTCGCTGCCCGGCTGCCGGCTGGAAATGCTGGGTGTCCAGACAAGCAGAGCTCACTGCCTCGGCAGCTGCCCTCATTTCTTGGCTGAGGACAGGCTAGAGAGAAGAAGGAGCCGACCCTCCGACCCGCAGCATCCCCAAAGCAGGGAGCGCGGGCAGAGGGGAGGGGCAGGGTGCAAGGAAAAGGAGACGGGAGGGTAAAAAAAAAAAACAAACAAAAAAACCAGTGTATCTGTGTACAGATCTGAGGCTGCTTCCTAATTCTCCCTGGCTGGCAAAGCTTGCCTGCTTGGATGCTGCAAAAGCGGTGGTAACCCAAACTCATCCATCCTGCTTCTGTCACCTGGTTGTTCCCCCTGGTCCTCCGTCCTCGGGTTGCACAGACAAAGAGATAAGCAGGAGGAAAATAACACCAGGAGAGATAAAGAGATAAGCGAGGGGAAAATAAAACGGGGGTAGATAAACCATGCTCGCTATTTATAGTCCCTGTCTAATCTATCAATCCATCAGGTTATAGCATCCCTCAATCTGTCACCTGGACTTCTCTTCTCCATACATCTGCCTGCCTTTGCCCACATCTCCTCCCTTGTCTCCCAGTCCTAAAGGGAAAAAAAAAAAAAAAAATCAGGCAATTAAACACACCAGGAGGAAACAAGAAGTCAAAGCCATCATCTCGGCTCCCCGGGGGAAGCCGGCAGACATCTGCCTGGGGATGAGGAGGGTACGGGCGGGAGGGCCGGCAGTGCTGCTGCTCCTGAGCAGGCAGGGCTACCGAGAGGCAGGGGTGCCAGCAGGCTTCCCAGCTAGAAAGACCATTTTGTCTTCTGCTACATATCTTTCCAGGCCATCACATCGCTTCTTCTCCCCATCGTCATGTGGGCCATGCGTCAGGCTAACATTCCTCAACTCCATCCTCTGTTTCCCGCAGACAGAGCATTTTCTACCATGCTTTTCGGCACCCTTAACCAGTCACACATCCTCCAGCCACCTCAATATGAATGAAAGAGCCGTCGGGATGACTGCTCGAGGGGTGCCGCTGGCCAAGACATGAGGGAGCAGCTTCCACCCGGCGGGGGACTGACACCGGGCTTCTCCACCGCGGTGCTGGATCCAGAGGCAGGCAGGTGATGCCCTGAGAGTAACAGTCCCACGTGCAGGCAGTGGGGTGGATGAAGGCTGTTTACTTTCAATTTAATGCAAAAAAAAAAAAGGCAGAAAGGGGCAGGCAGGCAGCCGGAGGGACGCGCCATCAACTCTTTGCATCCTTGGTTTTTGCCCCTCATGCTGACAGGCCGAGTGGCGCTGGGGCCTCCCCTCCCCGCAGCCTCCCAGCAAAATTTCATCGTGTATTGCCCAAAAGCACCGACTTTGGCCCAAATCGCCGATTCCCATCAGGAACGAGGCCGTGGGCGGCATTCCCAGCCCAGCAGCCGGTACGACACCTCTCAGCAAAGCAGCCCGTCGGGCAACGCAGGGGCCAGCAGACGAGGAGCGACAGCAATGCCGAGCGCATCCCCGGCCACCGGCTCCCCACAACTGCACCACCTCTCTGACCAAGTGGAGGAAAAGATGGGGGTGGTTTCCTGAATTTCGCTGATAAATTGCTGTATTTTGGGAGAGAACCACTTCCACCTTTTTTCGGGGTAAGTGGGTGAGTTGGAGAAAGAACAGCAGCAGCACCGGGATGGACAGGAGGGGACTGCCAGGCTGCATGTTAATCTCGGGTGGAAGCAGCCAGGTCTTCCCATCCCTGTTCAGCAATTAAAGCGCTCGATGGAGGTTATTAAGAAGCCAAGGTTAATAACTGGGGGTCAGCGTTTGATTACCTTGCAGCGCTTTCCCCTGCAAAGAACAACGCCAATGGGGCTGGCTGGAGAGTCGCTGCCGTGCACGGAGCTGGCAGGATCTGGCCTCCGGATGCAAAAAGCCAGGTTCCACCCTGCCAGGCCTCCCCGAACCAGGAATTCGGTGTCAAACCCATTAGCTTTTAAAAACTGGTATGGTTGGGGCCCTCCTTACCTGTGCAGTGGTTTGCAAGCCCCTGCGTTTATTCACCTTACACAGCTCCTCCCTGCAGCCGGAAAGCTGCCTCTTAAATAACAAGCTGAGCCCGTCGCTTGCTTGATTGCAGCCGCTCCGGTTCCGTCTGGACACGTTTATTTAGCAGCTCTGCCAGGGAAAAGGAGGATGGGGAAAGGCCGGGCTGTTTCGCCCCCAGCCCCGGCGCAGGATGGGGTTACCCACGCTCTCCCCCAGCGTGCCTGCTCACGGCTCCCAGGTGCGGGTCGGTCCCACCTCCATCTCCCGGCCCTGAGACAACCGGTGATGGGCTGTGATCGGCTACACCTGAACCGAACAGCTCGCAGCTCCAGCTATCTAACCTACACTCTTTTTCCCCTCCTGTGTTTTCACCCCTTTTCCGGCTGAGCCTCCAGCCCTGCGTGCCATGAGGTGCTGCCTTTGGCCTCATGGCCAAGAGCATCTCCGCATCAGGCTGTGCTGAAATAGCAAGGAAAGTTTTGCCGTGAAGAGCGAGGATGGAGAGAAGCGGTAGGGCTGAATCTGCATCCCTGCCTACATCCCTGCTCCAGCCTGCCTCAGTTTCCCCCCTCATAGCTCCCAGCTGATGCTGGTGTCAACCTGGGAGAAAAGCACAGGATGCACGGGGGGTAAAACATCCCCAGGAGAGGAGGGAGGGCTGGGAGGGCTCCAGAAAACACACTTTGCTGGCAGATACTCTTTTTCTTTGCATGCAAAC